TTTTAATTAATTAAAACAACAAAACCTACGGTCATATCCCTGCAATAATAAAATATTACCACTGCTAACTACGACGACGACAATAACAACAATAATAACAACAATAATAACAATAATAATAATAACAACAATACTAACAATAATAATAGTAATAATAATAATACAAAATGTTATTTCTCCTCACTGTCGCTAATTACTTTCTGCAGTCAACAAACTAAATAAAACTTGATTTAAAGACAGGACGTGACTTGATTCTGTTTTATTAAAGCAAAAACTGTTTCAAGTCCTCGGCTTCTCAGACTTGTTTGTCAACAAACTAGTAAACAAGTCAAAACACAAACTTAAGCAAACGTTTAGTTTTGAACGTTGTGAAGAGATTAAAATTTTTAAAAATCCTCACTGTAAAGTCATGAAGACAAAAATACGATTTATTTTGTAAACTTAAAACAAACATTGTAACTACATGGTTACCATGTTTAATTAATTAATTTATTTATTTGTTTATTTATTTTTCCTCTGAAGGTCAAACTGTAATTGTTTGCAGCCAACCTAACAAGTGTTTTGTTTACATTAAGTGCAGACCTGCGTTTCAGAACTGCATACAAAAATTTCTGGAGAACTACTGCAGTAAATTATTTTAAAGATTATTTTAAAAGAATCAATGCAAACTACAAAACCAAATGTTTAGAGGTGAATAAACACAAACTGAATCAGGCGAGTGGAGACTCTTGGTGACATTTGGTGAAAATATCTTCTAATATTTTCTGCTACGATGGAGTGAAACAAGAATAAAAATCTGGGCTGAGCAGGGAGGTGGAGTGACGTCCAAACGAAACTTCTGACAGATCAGAAGCTTTTCTCTAACTTCTCCTTTCATGTGAACAAACCCATCAGACTTCAACATCAAAACGTCTCTTTCATTTTCTTAGTTTTCAGTCACTTTTTCTGTTTCTGTAAACAGCTGCAGCTGCAGAAGGTAACAAAATGTTTAATTTAAAGACATGTTTACAGTTAGTGTGAGAAAAGAAAAATGTGCAGATTCTGATCAGTCTTTAAACAAGAAACTTTCATTCACTCAAACTTAAATACGTGATTTTATGACTCAATGGTTCCACAAAATAACCTCTGAACGTCTCCTACAGTCCAAGCAGCAGATACTGATGCCTTTAGCTGCAGAAAAATAAGTCCTGTTAAAAACAAAACCAGTTTTTCAAATCTGTACAAGTAGGTGATGAAAGAACAGCTGGTTAAAAGCACATCTTTATATTAATTTTAAAATAAAATGAGAATATTTTAGGTTGTTTTTGTTTGGAAACTTAAACCAGAGATCATTAGTGTCAGGAAAGCATCGAAAGGTTCACAGCTCCAGAATCACACCTCGTAAAACTGATTTTTAAATTAACCAGTAAAACTAAAAATAAAATGTCTTCATGTCTCACTTTAATTAAACCTGCATGACTCAGTTTGACACGTTTAGGTTGAAATTCATCACAGTAACGTTTTCATTTGTCATCATTATGAATCTCTCTGCAGATTTCAGTTCCTAAAAAACTTCTGATCTTCTCTGAAGTGTTTGTGGTTAAAGTTGCAACATTTACTGTGACTCCGGGGCCGACGACTCGTGGATCAGAATCTTGTGAAATTAAAACGTTGCTGTTTTGTGTTTTGGTCAGCCTGACTCATTTTGGTGTAAAACAAAAAAGGAAGAACTTAATGGTGTTTGTGTTTTGATCAGATAACTGCAACAACAGTGGTGTTAAAAACTGTTACAGTAGCTTCCTTCCTGATGTCTTTTTCTTTTACATGTTTGTCACTTAAATGTTTCAGATCACAAAACAGATGTGATCTTTAAATATTAGACAAAGATAACGCAAGTAAACACAAAATGCAGTTTAATTTCCCAAGCCACACCCAGGCCTGATCACTGCCACACCTGTTCTCTGTCAGGAAACCATTCAGGACCGGCCTGACAAAGTGAAGTAGACCAAAACATCCTTAAAAGCTACACATCCTGCCGAGATCCAAAGAAACTCAGGAACAAATGAGAAACAAAGTAACAGAGTCTGAAAAACATGGAGTTCCATTTGTGCCAAAAATATGTTGTTGAGCCTTTGTCCATGTTCTTAAACCTTGTGTTGACACAACGTTGTTTTGTTTGTTCTGCCTCTCTCTGCTGTTACAACAGGTAGTAACAGCAAGAGGGACGTGACCAAACACTTTTCCGCACCGCTGTAAATAAACAGTAAATAATTACAGCACAATGGTAGAATAAGATGTGTTTATTTGTAGAAAGCATTTGAACAAATAGGTCTTCAACATTAAAAACAAGCATTTAAACAGAAAAACAATCAGACATTTAAATAGATATATAACATGAAATGTACAAAAATTCAAAAAGTGCTAATCTTTTTAAACGTAACCAAGAAGTTTTTATGTGAAAACAAGTTTTAAAGGCTTTGCCTGTTTACTTATAAAATAATATATAAAACAACAAATGCTTTTTATCCTTTCAGTTCTTGAAGGAAAAGTAGAAAGTCTGTACATCCCTGTGAACGTCTGCGTGAGGATCTGATCAAAGCTGGTTTCTTGGTGCAGAGCTCGTTCAGCAGGTTTAAAGAACTGAGGACTGTTTTTGGGAGGTGGTGGTGGTTTTTGTTTACAGACGTGTCATCACCTTAAAGGGATCCCCGATTAGTTGTAACATTAGACTTTTTTTGATAAACATCTGTTTTAACTGTAAAATAAAGACTGTGAAAGTACTGTAGGATGTTTAGTTTTGTAAATTTTTAAAAATATATTTTAACACGGACGGGGCCTTTTTATTTACACGCAAAGCATTCTGGGTAAATGATGACGTGGATAGGTCCTCGGTGCGAGGCTGCTAGCGAGCTATATCCACCCTGAAGGTTAATCTTGGACAATATCTGATGATCGACTCTTAAATGAAACCAGAGAGCGTTGACAGAGAGGAGAAGGTAGAAATGACTCAACCTGGAACTGAAAATATGGATGGAGGACAACAGAGCTGCTTCATGGAAGAAGAACCTCAGCTTCGCCTGCTAGCCTTTGCGCTAGTGCTGACGCTATATGAATTAGCTTGGTGCTAGCGCGACAAACAAGCTAACTGAGGTCCTCCATCCATATTTTCAGTTGCAGCTGAGTCATTTTTGTGTTCCCCTCTCTGTCATGTGGATGGAGGACCTCAGCGACGAGAGGAGAATGTGTAGCGCTGAGCTAATACATATATATGGTGATAGCGTCAGGGCTAATGCTAAAGCTAACAGGCTAAGCTGAGGTTCTTCTTCCATGAAGCAGCTCTGTTGTCCTCCATCCATATTTTCAGTTCCAGGCTGAGTCATTTCTACCTTCTCCTCTCTGTCAACGCTCTCTGGTTTCATTTAAAAGAGTCGATCATCAGATATTGTCCAAGATTAACCTTCAGGGTGGATATAGCTCGCTAGCAGCCTCGCACCGAGGACCTATCCACGTCATCATTTACCCAGAATGCTTTGTGTGTAAATAAAATGGCCCCGTCCGCGTAATATATTTTTAAACTTTTAATTTAAAAATTATAAAACTAAACAGCCTACAAAAAGAAAAAAATTGTATAGGTCTTCTGGACGGGTTCTTCTCTAATGAAACGTTTCGTCTCTCCTCCAAGAGACTTCTTCAGTCTGAGAGTTTCAGGCAAAATTCAGGCTTTTAAGCCCTGCCTCCATGTGACTGATACTCACATCACATGGCTATTGTTGACACCTAAACAGCCTACAGTATTTACAGTCTTTATTTTACAGTTAAAATGTGTTTATTAAAAAAAGTCTAATGTTACAACTAATCGGGGATCCCTTTAAGGCTGGTTTTCATCTCTCAAGGTTCATTTGTAAGCTGGGAACTGAAATTTGAGGGGAGCCATGGCGTCGCTGCTGGAGTTGCTGCGATCCGGAGACACCGGCGAGCAGGCGGAGAGCACGGTGAGAGCCGGAGAGGTGGCGGAGATGGACGTGGAGCTCACCGTCTGCAGGCTGAAGTGGAACCCGCAGGGGCAGCCGGAGTCGTGGACGAGCTGCAGCACGTCTTTACGGAAGCGCACGCCCACCAGGGCGTAGAGGACGGGGTTGAGGGCGCAGCGGGTGTAGGCCAGGGTGCAGGTGATGTACTCCCACAGCAGGTCGCAGAACTGACCCGCCAGTTTGAGTTTGTGTGACAGCACCACGGTGTACGGCAGCTGGAAGATCAGGAAGACCATCACCAGAGCCACCATCAGCTTCAGCGTACGCTGACGATGCCACGGTTTCCCTCTGCGATGAACACGCCCCTCCCACAGAACCAAACCGATGCGGGTGTAGCACGTCACCATGATGACGAAGGACACGCAGAAGACCGCTATGATGGCTCCATTGGTGGCCATCTTGACTTGGCCACTCCTCTGCATGCCACAGTAAGCCTGTCCACCATTCCCTGAAACCCCCGAGAAGAGGATTTCAGGTAGGCTCAGGAGAACCGCCACGAACCAGACCCCCACGGCAGCCACCTTCCCTGCTGTTAGGATCTGACTGCGCAGCCGCAGCATCTCCTGGGCTCGGGCCACCACCATGTAGCGGTCCACGCTAATGCAGGCTAGCAGCAGCAGCCCGCTGTACGTGTTGATGGCGTAGCACGCTCGATTCACCGTGCACAGGAAGTCAGAGAAGACCCAACCCAGGTGGGTGTCGGTGGCCTGCAGGGGGAGTGTGAGGAGCAGGAGGAGGTCCGCAAGCGCCAGGTGGGCCAAGAAGACATCCGTCATGGAACGGAGCCGGAGGCGGCGGTAGAGGGCGAAGGTGGCGATCACAAGGCAGTTTCCCACGATGCCGAGCAGAAAGATCAGACAGAAAGCACCCGTCTGGAACATCTTGAAGATGTGTTCCTGCTGCTCGTTGGGCCCACAGTAATAATCAGAGTCATCGTCATCATCTGAGCAGTTGGTGCTGTTACAGCCTGAACCCTCGAAGGAATAGTTGGAAGGATCGTCGTAGTACTCCATCACTGCTGAGAGACAACAATCATATCATTAAATAAAACTAATAAAACTTACTTCTGTTTCCTCCTGAAGAACCAAATGAGACTTTCTATAACAAAATAGCTGAAGTTTGCTTTTAAATTATATGTTTTAAAAAAATACAGGATAAACCAAATCAAGCTATTTAACTCTCCGCAGGTCACACCACATTTATAAACTAAAATCATTTCTTGCTGAGGAGGTGGAGTTACAGCTCAAGCTCAGAATATAATGAGGATGACTCATCTGCTGTCACATCAAATTTTACCTCAAAATATGTTAAAACAACTGAGCTAAAGAGATCTGAGTTCACTAAAGTCGCTACGTGGTCACCTTGAATAGAGCTGACTCCAAAAGATATTTTAGAAAACTAAAACTAACTTTGTTTAAACTAAAAACAGAAAAAACAGCTAGTCCTAATTTAGCTAAAGACTAGCTAAAATAAAAGGCATTAAAATCTAAAACCAGCAAAAGGCCGGCCAAAATCTACAGAGGCAAACAACAAGCTCAACGAAAATAAAAAATAGGCATGACCAATCAAAATGTCAACTGAAAGCTAAAGTGGCAAAATGGCTAAAATCTAACCTAACTGAGGTCTAGCTTAAAGCTAAAAAACAGCAAAGGCTAAAGTTGCGAAAGCCTGGATTAAAGCTAAAATAGCTAAAGGCTGTCTCAAAGCTAAACTCGTTGAAGCGTAGCTTAATGCTAAAGGTAGTAAAACCAGCTATATTGTATCAAAAGGCTGGCTAAAAGTTAAAGTTGTGAAAGCCTGGAATAAAGCTAAAATAGCTAAAGCCTGGCTCAAAGCTAAAGTAGTTTAAGCCTAGCTTAATGCTAAAGGTATTAAAACCAGCTATGTTTTTATCAAAAGGCTGGCTAAAAGCTAAAGTTGTGAAAGCCTGGATTACAGCCACAATAGCTGAAGCCTGGCTAAAATGTAAAATAGCTAAAGCCTAGCTGAAAGCTAAAAGATAGCAAAAACTAGCTTTAAAGCAGGGCTATTCAACTGATGGCCCATGGGCCACATCTGGCCCACAGGTGACTTCTGTCCACCCTCAGGGATGTCTGGCCCCTGAGGAATTTAGTTGAATAGCCCTGCCATAAAGTATCAAAAGAGTATATAAAAGCTAAAGTGGGGCAAAAGCATCTCAAAAAGCTAAAGTACCTGAAGCCTAGCATTAAGCTAAAGTAGCTAAAACCTAGCTTAAAGCTAAAGTAGCTGAAGTCTAGCATAAAGCTAAATTAGCTTAAACCTAGCATAAAGCTAAAGTAGCTTAAACCTAGCATACAGCTAAAGTAGCTTAAACCTAGCTAAAGTAGCTGAAACCTAGCATAAAGCTAAAGTAGTTGAAGTCTAGCTTAAAGTTCCAAAAAGGTAGTTGAAAGAAGCATAAGACAAAATTAGAGCCAGTTTGTTGAAGCAGATTTCAAGAGAATATATATTTTACTTAAATTAAATAAATAATGGAACAATATTTGAAAATAAAAAAGTAAATCCATGAAGTTGTAGATTATAATTTAGTCTCTACATTTTAGAGCTTTTGTTTGTGATGTGGGCTGAAAACATTCAAACGTAAAAAACGAGATTTTTGAGTCATTTTGGTTTCTCTTCCCTGTTAAGGTGAAACAAAGTTGCGTGAGGACGTTTTGTTGAAGGTTTCTTATTTACGTGAGGCTTGGTTTGGTTCTGAGCAGAGTTCCTCCCCTCCACATCAAGATATGAGGAAATCAGATCAGGTTGAAAGTCAGAGACCTGCTGCTTTTGCCTCGTAGTTTGAGTCAGCAGCTGAGCGTTGCGTGACTGGCATCAGGTCGTTGGCACGAGGGGAAACCGTGGGCCTCCTGCAGAGCCACAGATCAGTCAGTGTCGCGTGCTAACAGCCTTTTTAGACAGTTTCCATAATCACCTTTTTTTTTTCATTTCATGCTTCACTCTGTGCCTCTGCCAGCAGCCAGGCAGGGCTAAGCCATTTATAAATTCTTTCTGTTGGTGTAGACTGAGCCCCAGTTAAAGGAGGTTTCCGGAAAGGTAAGAAGAAAATCTTTAAAGATTAGAGCTCGAGTGTAAGAGGCAGCCTTCATTAGATTATAATATTTCAGGAGGAAGAACAATTAAATGTGCAACAAAACAAAATTTAGAACAAATAGTTTCATGTCTTCAAGGAATGATTTAGTTTCAAGTTGTTACAAACCAGAGTTCCTCTTGTTTAAAGGACAAAAACTGGATAAATTAAAGTTCTACGAAAGTAGGATTTCCTGAAAAAATTGAACACCGAGTTCTGAATGACTTTACTGAAGAAGCAGAAGTTAAAAACAAAAAGAAGCCGTCCGCATTAACCGTAGCCGTATTAGTCGATGTACGACTGGGCGTTTACCCAATGAAACTATATGTTGTTTTTGTTTCAAGCAGACAAGAGAAACAATCGTATTAAAATCGATAAATATTAAAACCTTCATGGCTGAAGAATAATCCGTAAGGTTTATTCAGTCCAATACAAAAAACAATCAGATTAAAGCGTAGCAGATTAAAATGGTGGGTTATCGTAACTAAATCATATAAAGGAGTTCCACATGGATGTCTTGCTGGCCCGCTGATATTTACATATATTAGCTTTTTGTGTTTTATTGAGTTCTATTTTACATTTGCTGCTTTGATAAAGCTGCAGGCTTGTTTCTCCTGCTCTGACTCACAGCCTCCTCCATCTTGGATGATTTCTAGATATCAGTCGATTTCTTGTTGACGCTTGTTTTGCTGAAAACATCAGTTAAACGGGTTTCTTTCAACTCACACCTGCAAACTAAACCCAAACACGCAAAATATCACCACTGTACAATCACACAACTGTTGTGATTGTATAACAATGGCTTGAGTTGTTTTTCTAAAATGTTCTATAATGTTAAATGAGTTATTTCTCTGAATCAAACATTATGGTTGAAAATGAACTTTAAACTTTCTATAAGACACTTTTAGTGTTTTACGTCTTTTTTGTATCTTGGTGAAAACTTTAAAATATAAGTATAAAATTTAAAAAGTGGATTATAAAAAAATTTGCTCACATTTTATGTTTTTAGGTTGTTTTTGCATATTTAATTTTGTATGTTTGTTCTAAACGGCTAAACTTGAACATTTAAAATCTTTCTTTTTTGGCACGATGAAAATTGTTTTTAAAGAATACAAACAAACCATTTCAATGACTTCTTAAAAAATGTTTATATTTCTACAAACGTACAGTGAAACAGAATTTCCTGCATTAATATCAGGAAACTTCACATTCAGGTTGAAAGTGAGATTCTGGTCTGTATTTCTGCTCCGACTGAGTGGGCAACAGTTACACATTTCACTCAGTTTTCACTTCTCTCCTTTTGTTATTTATGAATTCAAAGACAGTTTGTGTGTCAATATTGGCGGGCATCAGAGCAACTTTTTTTTATTTAGTTGTAGCACAAATAGATTTTTTGTGAACAACATAACTTACAAAACTTATAGAAAATATATTTATAGTTTATTTTTAAATGAACAACGAAAAGAGGTGATTATTTCAAAGATTAATGATCTGTTGCGCTGTCAGTCTGATGAATAAAAACAAAAATCCCATGAATGAGTCGTTTACGGGCTCATATTTGTGAACCACAACCACTTAAGCTGTGATGGTTTTAAAGAAATAATTTGTTTAAATCAGCTGCTTTAGCTGGGTCTAAAAGTGATGCTTTAATTATTGTGTTGTTGAAACAGTAAAAATGTTGTTAAACAGACATAGAAAACCTATAAAGCATGATTTGTTCAAGCAAATAACTACGTTTCTGCACGTTTTCTAACTGAACCTTTTCTTAATAGTAAAATATGTTGTTGATAAAACATCTTACCTGTTGTGTTTGAGGTGCTGAACATTTCCCGGCCCGTCTTCCTGCACCTGCAGAACAGATTTCTGAACCTGGCTCTTTTTAAAAACAAACCTGTGGGCCCAACCTCAGCTGCCACGAACCAATGAGACCGTTCTGCTGACCTCGATGCACTCCTGCTGAAACTGTTGATGCCAAACATACGAGGAAAAAAAAACAACTGTCTTTTTTTGAAGCTTTGTCACATGTCAAAGTGACTCTGTGGATTGTAGGTTTTTTTGTTACATTTTGAAACGTTTCACATGTTTGTTTGATCTGTAACATTGGTAAACACTGATTGAGTCACGCTTTTGTAGATTGCTCATTATTTCACAATCGCAGAATCTAAAATATTTCTCGATACGTAGACCTAGAACATTAAGAACGCAGTTTGACCACCAGTAAAAACTAATTAAGCCACACCTGGGTTGAACAATCGACTGGTACCAAACCGATTTAAAACCTCTCTTTGCCTTTTTTCTGTTACTTGTGGTTGTTCATCGAGTCAGCTTTACATCGTGGTGAAAATGCTACGGCGGGTACCACACAGTCCGTACAGGTCATGTGGCGAATACACAGATACATGTAGAATAGAATAGAATAGAATAGAATAGAAACAGCTTTTATTGTCCCGCACTGGGAAATTCAGGTGTAACAGCAGCAGATACATACACCAATCCACAGAAACAGTATATTGCTATGTGACAATATCAGCAACAATAATAGAATTAAAGAAAGTAACAATAAAAATAAACATAGATCAAAATAAAAGTAAGAATAACCATTACTATAACGGGCTATCAAGATGAAATTGGTTAAAAAAGAAAAACAAGGCAAGATAATGTGCAGAAAAATGTAAATGACAGGAAAAAGAGTCATGACAGACTCATATGAGCGGGTGTGCAAAATGATTCAAACTCAGTCGTTAAGTCCAGTACAGGAAAAAAAAAAGATGTACAGTTACCACTGTTTGTTATTTATGTAATGATTGAGAGGTAGAGTTGTTTGATGTGCCAACACAAACATGGATGCTCATCGTGATTGTTGCGAGCAGTGATGGTTATAGAGTCTAACAGCTGATGGGAGAAAGGATCTGCGGTAACACTCCTTTGTGCATTTGGGTGTTTGCGTTGTGTAGATAGATACATTTTTTGTCACTTCAGTAGAAAACGAAACTAAATATTAGTTTATTTAGTTTATTTCTTCATCATCAGTGACTTTTTTTTTATAAGTTAAGAGAAAATAGAGACAGAGAGAAAAACAGAGAGAGAAGTAATTGGAAAGATAGAAAGATTGAAATAGCGATTAGAAGTATATTAAATATACACCAACAAAACACAGGACCACACACCCAACATCTGTCCGCTCACCTGAAAAATAAATGGATAAATACATGGAGGGCATATATAAAAGTATACACATACCCATACATATAWAAAGATATACATACATACATGCCTACATTCATAAATATTGTCAGTATATACACATAGATATATATACACAGACCAGTCAGAACCCCCCAGATCAGAACACCTGTCTGTGAGCAGTTGTGAACATGTGTGTATATACAAGATTTCTCCAATGGAATATTTAATAGTGACTGTGGAGGACCGAGACCCAACCCCCAAGCCACGAGGCAGACATAGGGAAGACCAGGGCCCGAGAGGATCCCGAGCGCAGAGCCCCAAGGGGCACCCGCACGGGAAGATCCGCCCACCCACCCCCCAGATCAGACCATWGGGGAGAACTGGGAGAGTCCCCCCAGCRACCACACDCACAGCCCCCGGGGCCAGCAGTGACAAACTCATGGGCCCCACCGGCACCCGCCATACCAGAGCAGATCCAGGAAAGAGCACAGAGGTCCGGGCCCCCAGGGCACACCCCCTCCAGGCCAAAGCCCGACAGGTCCAGAGGCCCCGAGCCCCAGCAGGTAGTCACCAGGCCAGGCCGGCACACACCCCAGCCCCAGACCCCGGGAACCCCCAGCACACCGGCGGCCAGCCGCACACCCCACCGGGGGGCCGAGTAGCAGCGGGCCCCCAGATAAACCAGCAGTAGGGGCAGCCCTGACCGTAGCCTGACAAATACCCAAACATACACAATAGACGATAGACACGATAGATACATTTTGTAAAGAGACCAGGGGACTCATGTATTAATAGTGCATACACACAAAAACCCCTCAGTAACAGCATCACACACACACAGACACACAATCACTCGTTCTTTGTACATGACACATTTTTACTCCCTTAACTAGAGAGTTTTCTCACTGTCATTATATTTGATTAATTATTTTCCTGAACTTAGCAGACAGAATTCTTCTTCTCTTCTTAAAATGCAAACAAACCTGCAAAAAAGTCTTTCAACTGACAAATGATGGCTGGATTTTCTCACATGTTGTGTTTGAGGATATTTTATCTATGTACAGTAAAATGTATGAAAAACTGGTGAGGAGAATTTACTGGACAAGACTTTTGGTACCACTTTACAATCAAGCTCCCCTTATAGATGTCTTATAAAGGGTTTATAGATATGTTATTAATTCATTTGTAAAGTTTACACTTCATAAATCATTAATAAATAAAACTGGACAATTTTGTCTCTTTCTCGTCCTTAAATATTGCATAATAAACACTTATTAATAATTTTTAAAGTGTTTACAGATTAATTAATTACCTTTCTATAAACTCTTTAAAAGCCATCTATAAGGGGAGCCTTATTGTAAAGTGGTACCTTTAAAAAGATACATTACCTTACAAGTGTTTAAAGTGTAAAATGTAGACAGTGGGAATTAGTGTGAAAGGATGTTGAACAAAGACTTGGCACCTCTATGAATATTGTGGACCCTGGATGGCCCCTTACTCAGAAAAATCCTAGATCCGCCACTGAGTCCAACAAACATACTGAACATGTGAGGCTCGACACAGGACTCTTTGGTTCTGTTGGTGGCCAGGCCCAAACGAGGTCTGATTTAAAACAAGGCGACCAAAATGTTAGGCAGTAAACAAAAAGACAACAGTGGACGCCACTTCTTGTATCTCTTCTGGTTTATCATCTTTGAGCTCCACCAGGGCTCGGCTGACCCGGGTCTTGCTGAACGAGTCAGTCGTTTGGACCCGACTCCCATTTTTTGTTGTATTTTTGGAAACAGGAAGGTCAGGTCTGGTTTGTCCCATGCTGTTAAACATAAGTATTTCACTGATTTCAGGGGAAATTTAACCAGAATTACACAACTTTATAAACAAAGTGGCCGAGGAAGGCTGCTGTGAAACATGAGGCAACCATGAATCACAAGTTTCTGACTAAAGCTCTAAAACTCCGGGTCACACTGGGACTGAGTAGTTCCTAATGTTTGCCCTGTGTTAGACATGTGGACTGATTTATGACTGAAGATTAATTAATCCTAAGTTGGTGAGGAGTATAAAACACCAAGAAATTATAAAACTACATCTTGTTTACAAGGTTCAGAGAGAGGTTAGGAGCTGGTTTTGGTACCAGGCGGTTGTTCCACCCAGCTGTGGTTAAAGATGTTTTTACTGGTGGTTGAACTTTGACTTCTCTCAGGTTAATGTTGTTTGTTTTGGGAGTTAACTGCTGTTCACCTTTAGTCCTTCTCAAATGAGTCAAGAACTCGTTAAAGTCCTAATTTGCCCGAGGTGAACAGGAAGTGTTGCTGCCCTGCACCGAAGCTAAACGTAGGTCAGAGCTGGTTTAATTTACGACAAAAAGAAAAAACTAATTTTCTGATGTGTTTTTGAGAAAGGAGCTGCTTTGAGTGGTGCATGGCTTCACCTGCACAGCTTGTAAGAGGCCGTGCAATAAGTTCTCATTTTCTCACATGCAGTTTTTGGTTTTAAATGCAACAAATCGGAAACTTTTGTTTTTGCGTTATCCTTTTGCATCTGGCCATTTAAAATCGAGATTCAGATTCGCTGCAGACGTGTTTCTGCAGAGACGGTAAAAATAAAAAAAACACCAGACCACACTGGTTGGTTTCCAGTCCATGAGAAAACTGTACAACTGGCTGCTTTGGTGTCGTTTGGCTCATGAGAATTGTTGACACGTTGACAGCTGCGCTCAGAAGTTGACGATCATTGACCCACGGTGTGGTTAACGTCTCGTTTAATGTTAACGTCTCGTTTAATCCCGCCCCCCACACACATTGCTTATTTGTGTGTGGTTAATGCAACTGGTGTGAAACCAGTGACCTACTCGTCAACCTGTGAGCAACACACCAGCCTGCAGGCAGAGAGCCGAGTCAAATATACGAATGTTAGGATACTTGGTAACGCTTTCTCTTATGGTACCCTTATTACTATGTAATTACAAGGTAAAATGTAATTAAATGGCTATTTCTACCTTATTACCATGCAATTACGTGGTAATTAGGGTACAAAATAAAAACTACTGTTAGTAAAACTACCTTTCTTGGGTAACTACAATCAAATTACCTTTCAATAGTAACATCACTATATTTATAACCAAAAGAATGCAACTAAATCTTGAGGTTAGTGGTTAATATCAATAAAATATAACTTTAAAACTGTCGAAATTACCTACTACTTATTTAGGTGTTACATAGTGAATTGTAATACATTGCCAGGTAAGTACTACATTACTGCAGACAATTAATTACCTGTACATAGTAAAATTGTACCCTAATTACCATGTAATAACATGGTAATAAGGTAGTACTTACATTTAATTACATTTTTTTATTACCTTGTAATTACATGGTAATAAGGGTACCGTAAACGAAAGCGTTACCAAATACTCTTTATCCACTGAAATATGATGTTTTAATATCATTTGATTCCATTTTTGTTTATTAAAAAAGATGATTTGAATTAAAAAAATAACTGATGGTCAAAGGTAATGCTTTTACTGCAGCTAAAATTATATTTTATCATTTTAATTTGAAACAAAAAATCAGATCGTATCATTGTTAATGTTTATGTTTTTGTATCAATGTCAAGTCGAGGCATTTAAAAGATTTAAAATGTTGAGATTTTCGCCCAAAAATGCTCCAAAATGAACTAAAGCCAATAATTTCTGCAGCACAGATCAGGCGTGTCGATGTTTTAAACATTTACTGAGTCGTTTTGTTTTTATTGAGAATAAATGAGTCTGAGTCTCGACTCTCCTTTTCTTAGAACCACTCACAGTTTAACACTGTTAATTAAAACGTTTCTGTCTGGTTCAAACCTGCTGCAACAACTGAGCCCCGACTTTTCATAAACCAAGAACAGGACTGAGAAAGTCCTGATCCCTAAACACGAGACCACGAGAGCACAGCAAGCAATCCATCTGCCTCCTGAACCTAACGAGCGAGTCCCACCTCAGTAGATATAACGCAGATATGTGTGTACATACTGTGTGTACTATATGTAGTATAAATACATGTATTCATTTGTATTTAGTTCACCAGGTTTAGTGCTGACTCAGCAGAAACCAGCAGGTTTTATCTGAATTTAGACTTTACCTCCTCGCGCTCCGTTTGGTACTTCCTGTTATTAGTTTGTTCTGCGTTACGTGTGTGTGTGTGTGTGTGTGTGTGTGTGTGTGTGTGTG